CAAATTATCACTGAAAAGCATTTGCCAGGCAATCACTGGCTTCGAAACTCCTTGCAGTTAACTGTTCATACCATTATTCATCCTTTTTCACATAGGAAATTACCAGCCAACGGAAATGGCCTGGAGACAACACAAATGCAACCTAAATTTTACTGATCAAAGCATTAAAAGAAAAGCAAACAATCATTTTCTCGAATTGCTGATTCCAGAATTTTTTCTGTAGAAATTTTGAGTTGAGCTGACTGAAGTAGATTTGGGTTTTCAGCCAATCCTCCTTCACTCTTGCCCTCCATTGAAGCCACGTAGATGTGGAAGGTGAACTTAAGAGCAGTTTAGGGGCAGAGATTGCCACTACTCTTTGTGACTTTACATGTGTGAGTGGGCAGTCTTCCCTCAGTCTGAGAGGAGAGTATGATTTGTGCTATATATGCCCCTCAGGAATGCCAATTGGTGTTATCAGCTAGCTACTTATTCCTACCTATTTTCCCTCCCAGCACTGCTCTTATCCATATGACCCATAATTCTTCCCTCTCACGCACAAGGTGATGGAGGTACAAATGATTATCTCTTAAGACAGCTTGTGGGAAAAGGAGAAATTTATTATTTAAACATAAACAGACACAGATAGAACCATCAGCAATTTGTGACTATAATGATATAGATAAAAGAGAGCTACCTCCAGCACCTAGCAAGTACCTGGCATCAGCTCCTTCTCAAAAATACATGTGGGGCTGGGTGTGGTGGCTCACACCTGTAATCCCAGCACTTTGAGAGGCAGAGGCGGGTGGATCACCTGAGGTCAGGAGCTGGAGACCAGCCTGGCCAACATGGTGAAACCTGACCCTACTAAAAATACAAAAATTTGCCAGGCGTGGTGGCGGGTATCTGTAATCCCAGCTACTTGGGAGGCTGAGGCAGGAGAATCACTTGAACCTGGGAGGCGGAGGTGGGCAGTGAGCCGAGATCACGCCACTGCTCTGCAGCCTGGGCAACAGAGTAACACTCCGACTCAAAAAAAAAAAAAAAAAAAAAGTGTGGAAAGTAGGAGTGGACAATGAATTTTCTTGATTGTGTTTTCTACAACATCATCAGCCGTCTCTGCCCAACTCCAGATTAATTTGTCAGCCTGAATGGAAGACATTTAAAAGGGATTTAAAAAAAAAAAAAAAAAACACACACTACTTTTTTTCCTAAAATATTTTTTTCTAAAAATAGTGATAGAAATAATAGCAGGCAGGATTATTTTCAACTTTCTTAATGTTTAGCCTAACGGAGCACTGTCCCAGGTGCTTATTCCTTACAATACTCAATGACGATTAGGAAACGGGATTTCTGTCCTTAATAGGCTTACTGCAAAGGAGAGTGACCAAGTATTTTAAAATTGCCATGCAGGATAAAGTATGAATGAAATAAGGTCGTTAGTGCTTTTCTTTTTCTTTAAGTTAAAGCCAAGCTTTGTTTTTGAAAATAGAGCACAGGAGGCTTCTACTCTGCATTCCTTTGGTAACAGGCTGCTTCCCTGTCCTTGATTGGGCTAAGGATGGTGATAACTTCAAAGGAAATCCCTTACTGTGTCCTGCCAGGTTACACTGTACACAGTGTGACCAGGTCAGGACTCGCATCTGTATGATGCTTTAGAAAGATGTGGTTCTGCAGCGACACGGCTCAGGACACTCACTCCCTACTTCTCCCACCTTCTGTGCTGCTTCCAGAAATTTTAATTGCACCAAAAATAAGGTTCTACTAGGCTTACCAAAGTACTAAATTTGTTTAGATGGGAGGTAACTTCGTGTGTGAAAGAATTTCTCACCTACCTCCCACTCTCCACCCCCATGCAAGCTTGCTCCTATTGAATTCTAGGTGCGAACACCTAGATATTTCACTCTGACTCAACTTTCCATTCTCGTATTTGATAAGATTGATATGAAAGAAACACATTTAACAATATTCAACCTCATGCTTTAAGCATCTCTCAGATATTAAATAACAAGATTCAAGGGCTAAAAAGAAAACTAACAAAATATTTTTCTCATACAAAAGAAATAATAATTGAATTCTCTTGACAAATAGGAGTTGAGCACTTACTACATCCCTAGCACTGTTTTAATTGCATCTATTAATCCACACAAGGATCACATTAGCCGGGCGTGGTGGCTCACGCCTCTAATCCCAGCACTTTGGGAGGCTGAGGTGGGCACATCACCTGAGATTGGGAGTTTGAGACCAGCCTGACCAACATGGAGAAACCCCATCTCTACTAAAAAATACAAAATTAGCTGGGCATGGTGGTGCATGCCTGTAATCCCAGCTACTCGGGAGGCTGAGGCAGGAGAATTGCTTGAACCCAGGAGTTGGAGTTTGCAGTGAGCCAAGATCGCGCCATTGCTCTCTAGCCTGGGTGACAGAGTGAGACTCTGCCTCAAAAAAAAAAAAAAAAAAAAAAAAAAAGGAATCACAGTAGCTCACACTGTAAAGATCGGAGAACTTTAAGCATTGAAAGGTTAAGTGACTTGCCCAGTGTTGTGCCTGGCAAATGGCAGAGACAGGTTTTGAATACGAGTGTTCTGACACCTAAACCTGATTATTAACCTCCAAGCTCTACTGACTCTGAATAAGTGTATTCAAAGTACTCCTGATATATTTAAAATGTGATATGGTTTGCCTAAAATATAGCAAACTATATTAGAGTCTTAAGTGCAGCTTTTAAAGCAAGCTGTGCTTTTGGAAACCAGTGCTGTAATTTCGGGATTTTCCCTCTAACTAATGAAAGGCATTTTCTTTGCAAGAGAATTAAGCACCAACTTGTGCAAGGGTTGAAACACTCACTGAAATCAGGATTACACCCACTTTGGCATGGTGTGTCAAGCACCCAGGGCATAAGGAAAGAAAAGCAGGCTGGAGAGAATGGTTACACATTCACATTTGAGCCGCAGCCATATATGTGGGTTAGTTTCCAAATGGACATTTACATTGCCCTTGTGTGTATCAAGTTGGTGTTTATTTGCAAACATGTTATTTAGATCTAGGAAAATGACAGGATAGCCCCAGGAAAGTTTCACAGTTATAACCTAACTAGGCTCCCAGTTTACTTTGCATAAAGGGCGTCCCCAAAATGTTTGATACACACAACTTCTAATATTTCATTGATTTTGGGGGAAGCAGCAGTCCACTTTTGCAGTAGGCCCTCACTGGAACTTGCAGACTGACACCCAACATTTGTTATTGCTGTTATTGAGACTTAGAAACTCATGATACATTCCTGGTCCAGAGTTGGGTGGGGGGAAGGAGAAAAAGGGGAGCCAGAGATTATCTTTGAAAATCTAGTTTTTATTACATCACCTAAAGTAGCACAACCTGCTACACTAATGAAATCGTGTTCTTGGTTTAAAAGGGCAATTGTTAGCCTGACTTTGTGCTCACTAAAAACATTCCCCCAATCTTGTTAAGTTATTGCTCTCATTTCAGATTTTTATGGCTGTGCAACTTACCAGCCCTCATTTCTTTACGTTTCATTCATTTTCCTTGTATTGATGATTAATGGAGGATGTCGAATGTTAGAGTGAGCAGGCATCAGCAATTGCAAGATCATAATTAGTTTAGCTGACGAGGGCCTCTGATAGCACTTGCATCTGGATGGAAAAATTACCCTATAGGGAACTGGCTGCTCACCAGGTCTTTTTAGTGATACATTGTGAAACACCCGATGAATCAAATGCCCTTTCAATGCCAAGAAAGTGTTCCAGTCTTGAAGCCAAAATTATGTCTGCAGAAAGCTTTCCATTTGAAATGTATCAGAGTACAATTATAACCATTGTATTTTCTTGGCAGGGATACCACTCCTCTACAGTATGGACTTGAGTTAAATAAATTGCCTAAATTTTATGAATCCCTGAAATTTTGACTTATAGCACATGTAATATTTAATTTCTAATAAAATTAGGTTCCAGCAAGACTTTTTCCAGTCTTTATCTAACATGCATATTTTATCATTAAAGGCTTTGCTTCCTAGAGAAAGGAGAGCCGAACTACAATTCAGGCTGTCTTTTTTTTTTTTTTTTTTTTTTTTTTTTTTTTTTTTTCAGCAAAAGAATTCCATTTCCTGCCTGTTAGTATTTGTGCCTACAAACACAGCCTGACTTTTGTTTAAGTGAGAAGTTTAATGGAATCATTACTTGATAGCAAGAATGGAACAAGCAATACTAATTATCTAGTTTTAAATATTCTTAGGTTATTTTGAACCTGTTGATTACAAAACTCAGGCCACTAGAATCAATTTGTATTTGGAAACCCTTGTGATTTCCAAGTCTAAGTCAAATAAAGTAAATAAATAGCCATTGAAGGGTCTGTGTTGCCTGACCTAAGTAGGTACCTCATAAGGGTTCTCATTAGTAATACTGTACTTTTAATTGGCTGAAGTTTCTCCAAACCCTCTCATGTTTGAGGAATAGAGGAATCTTTCGGATTTTACAATTGCAAACGAAAGATCAGAATTGAGTGTCTTATATTCTCTTAATACTTACGTTACATGAATGACATACAAAAACACAGAAATCAAGTTTGATTTTAAATGGTTTACGTTTGTTCCAAACGTGACTATATTTTAAAGCTCAGGTGGCATGTGCTCCTCCTTTCCAAAGTGTATTAAACATATTGCCATGTTCTGTCGTTTTGACTTGTGTTTTGACACTTTTAAAAGGTATATTTTAGGGTTCCGCATTTAGGAGCCATCATTAAAGCCATAAAACCCAAAGTTCAAAAAGTTAAAGCTGTTTCTATGAAAAGCCTTTGGTGTTCCACACACCTCATCCATCACTGTAGGGTTAATTATAATGAAAATCAGTGGTGCCTATTAAACACAATTGAACCTGACCTCATTATGGGCAGTGTGGTTTTATACTGTCATTGTTGCTAGTTTAAAGACAAAACTCCTGGGTTGATTTGGTCTAACTCCACTGATCATGTGACTCACCTCTGACCTTGGGTTTTTTCCCCTGTTTCAGAGGCGTAGAGGCTCCGGTGTTTTTTGTGCCAATTGCCTGACCACAAAGACCTCTCTCTGGCGAAAGAATGCAAATGGCGGATATGTATGCAACGCGTGTGGCCTCTACCAGAAGCTTCACTCGGTAAGAACTTGTTCCACTCTTTCAGGAAAAGCTTTATAAAACAGTGTTGGCCTGGTCTGTGGTGTGATAAGTCCCATTCCCTGGCTTGCAGTGCCTACCCCCGCAGGGTTGTTTAATACAGTCACTTGGAGTGCATGTGTGATTTATGGTGAAAGGGGCTTAGATGTGATGGGGAGATAGGTTTGAGGTCATTAGTAATGCATTATGCTTCTTTTGATATAAAAGAGGAAAATGATTGATTTCTGGGAACTTCACAGCAGATAGTTGAATTAATGGTTATCAGAATTCAGTGAAATTATTTTAGGTAAAAAGGAGAAAATTTTTAGAAGTTTCAGAAATATGCAAAACGTTTTTAAAAATGAAAAAGGATGCTTTCATTGTTCAGTATAAAATAAAAGGCAGGGAAAGAATTAGTATTTTTTAGTTTACCTTTGGAATTCGCAAGTGTTATCTTGACCGCTTTAGGGGCTGGAGGGACACATTCGGAAGGATAGTTCTGAACTGAACCAGGATCAGAGAATATCACAGGAATCTCCACAGTGCCTTCAGTGGGTATTTCAATAAGGTATCTGAAGTTCTGAATAGCACACACACCAGGGTAGAGTAAGGTGCAAAGTCTTTTAAGATCTCCAGCTGGCTTTGGCTCACGGAGGTCCTTTGAATTACTTTTCCTCAAATTTTAGTTAGAATTCTGTAATAAAATTAAAACTCACAAATCCTCCATCTGAATATGGATTTGACTTACTGAAGGATTTTTTTTTTTAGTTTAGAAAGTTCATCTGCTGACAAGAGCTGCCTTTAAAATAGGAATCCCCCACTTCGTAAACAGAAATTTATTTCCCTGTGCCTTTTTCATTTTGTTTGGCATTTTACCATAGCTCTTAGCACAAGCCAGTGAATACATTATGGCTACAGGGAATACAATTTTAGACAAAAAACGTTCTCATATATGGACTATTGGAAGCACTCCTTAAAAAATGCATGCTGCTAACAATACTAATTGGCAGTAACCTGTAAAAACCTTAGTTATTAGCATGTAGCAAGTAGAAAGATTCTGCCCCCCACCACATACCAACTTATTTTTTTTTTAACCTTCATCATTTAAGCATAGCAATAAGCTTCTATTTAATGGGAACTGACATTAATGATTTTAATTGAACTCTGGCCAATCATAGGCCAAAAGTAAATTAAAATACTACTCTGCCAGATTATGGTAATTTAACTACTGTGATATGAACTAAACTATTTTCTAAATATTATTTTAACATTCATCTATCCAGAGGTAAGACGTTTTTAGTTTTGAGGTTTTTTTAAAAACCATACATTGAAATACATAAAGGCTATGTTCACATTTCATGTCAAAAACTGACACAAAAGTTATGATTGTTTAAAAAAGGAATGTATGCAAATTTCAGGTTTCTTTACAGTGTATAGATTAAATAATGCATATGTTTATAATGCTAACATGAACTCTTTGTAAACTTTTGTAAATCTGAGCAAAAGAAATGCACATGGCATAACTAAGCTGTGTTACATTTTCTTTCTTAAACTAACAATGAATTGTCAATAACAAGTGTGTTATCTTTCTTCACTTCAAAGTACATTTGTAACAACAGAAATGTTCAAAAAAGGATTTATAGTTGTACTCGTTCAAGATATAAGAGGTACTCCCTTGCATTCAAGTGTGTCACTTCTAGGAATAATTTATAAATTATATTTATATTTATTTTAAAATTTATATTTATATTATAACATATTTATGAATATGTGTTTATATTTAAAAATTTATAATTTGTAAAATTATACATTATATATACATAATGTATAATTTATAAAGTTACAAATTTATAAATTTATATTTGTAGTCATGTTTTATGTAGAAATTATTTTCTGATTTCAGTAGTCTTTTAGAAAAATCAGACTTTAGCTCATTTAAAGATTATCCTAAAGTTTTAACCTATAAATATGCATTAATTTATCAGACTGATTCCTTTGATTTTATACATCAAAGAGCTCCAGCTGCAAGTAAAGTTTTTATTATAGTCTTATCCATGGATTTAAGTCATATTATATAAATACCTGTTGAACATGTCCATAAATACCAATCATGTAATGTTTAAGCTAAACAAAATACTTAAGCTGAATGAAAGTTAGCACTTACTTTAAGAGTAGAGTGACAGATCAGATATTTAAACCAAAGCTACACATGAATTTAGATTTTCAACACAAAACTAATGCTTCACCTATTAACAAGTAAAATCTTTCATCATAAATATATTATTAAAGGGAGAGAAGTAGAAGTGAGAATAAAAAAAAATCCCTCTATATTGCTTTGATGACCTGATATATTTCCGCACAATTCTGTCAGTTTATCTTTATTTATGCTCTGATATTAATATTTTATATCCACATTTGCAATTATTTAGAAGCATGCATGTATTAGATGCTTAGGTTGCCATAACAAAATACCATAAACTGGGTGGCTTTAAACAGCCAAAATTTATGTTTTCACATTCTGAAAACTAGAAATTGGAGATCGGGTTCCAGCAAAGTTGGATTCTGAGGAGGGCTCTCTTCCTTACTAAGCCACCTTCTATCTGTGCCCTTACACAGTGGAGAGAGATGTCTTTTTCTTCCTATTCTCATAAGGCCACAGTACCATTGGATTAGGGCCCCACCCTTACAACCTCATTTAACTTTAATTTCCTACTAAGGACCTGTCTCCAGATACAGTCACACTGTGGTTTAGGGCTTCGACATATAAACCTATTCTTTCTATAGCAGTGTGTAATTTTTCCACTGTTATCAATATGTATCGTCTGTGTTACTCTTGTATGCTGGCATTTTAGTGCACAACTCAAAAATTGAAAAAAAGTATTTCAGAAAAATCACATCACTTCAAGTAACTTTCTACACAGTTTCATCACTAAATGATGCAATCTCAAAATCTGTTGCATTTGGAAAGGCTATTTTCAAGTAGATTAAAGTTTTCAGTCCCCCCTACAAAGATGGACATGATTTAATTAGAGTAAAATAGTGCACTTTGGTTACTTCCTCTGATCCTGCTTAGGGCAAAAGGAGGAGATTTAGTAAATCTACAGCAGAAAGCCTATCCCTGCTTTGAACTTAAGCATGGTTTATATTTGTGAGGAATTTTTAATGCATTTTAATGTATTTTTTAATGTTTTCCTTTTATGTATTGTATGTGTTCTCTGCAGACTCCCAGGCCTTTAAACATCATTAAACAAAACAACGGTGAGCAGATTATTAGGAGGAGAACAAGAAAGCGCCTTAACCCAGAGGCACTTCAGGCTGAGCAGCTCAACAAACAGCAGAGGGGCAGCAGTGAGGAGCAAGTCAATGGAAGCCCGTTAGAGAGGAGGTCAGAAGATCATCTAACTGAAAGTCACCAGAGAGAAATTCCGCTCCCCAGCCTAAGTAAATACGAAGCCCAGGGTTCATTGACTAAAAGCCATTCCGCTCAGCAGCCAGTCCTGGTCAGCCAAACTCTGGATATTCACAAAAGGATGCAACCTTTGCACATTCAGATAAAAAGTCCTCAGGAAAGTACTGGAGATCCAGGAAATAGTTCATCCATATCTGAAGGGAAAGGAAGTTCTGAGAGAGGCAGTCCTATAGAAAAGTACATGAGACCTGCGAAACACCCAAATTATTCACCACCAGGCAGCCCTATTGAAAAGTACCAGTACCCACTTTTTGGACTTCCCTTTGTACATAATGACTTCCAGAGTGAAGCTGATTGGCTGCGGTTCTGGAGTAAATATAAGCTCTCCGTTCCTGGGAATCCGCACTACTTGAGTCACGTGCCTGGCCTACCAAATCCTTGCCAAAACTATGTGCCTTATCCCACCTTCAATCTGCCTCCTCATTTTTCAGCTGTTGGATCAGACAATGACATTCCTCTAGATTTGGCGATCAAGCATTCCAGACCTGGGCCAACTGCAAACGGTGCCTCCAAGGAGAAAACGAAGGCACCACCAAATGTAAAAAATGAAGGTCCCTTGAATGTAGTAAAAACAGAGAAAGTTGATAGAAGTACTCAAGATGAACTTTCAACAAAATGTGTGCACTGTGGCATTGTCTTTCTGGATGAAGTGATGTATGCTTTGCATATGAGTTGCCATGGTGACAGTGGACCTTTCCAGTGCAGCATATGCCAGCATCTTTGCACGGACAAATATGACTTCACAACACATATCCAGAGGGGCCTGCATAGGAACAATGCACAAGTGGAAAAAAATGGAAAACCTAAAGAGTAAAACCTTAGCACTTAGCACAATTAAATAGAAATAGGTTTTCTTGATGGGAATTCAATAGCTTGTAATGTCTTATGAAGACCTATTAAAAAAATACTTCATAGAGCCTGCCTTATCCAACATGAAATTCCCTTCTTTTATTATTCTTTCTTTTGATGAGTAGGTTACCAAGATTAAAAAGTAAGATAAATGGTCAATGAGAAAGAATGGAAGATGGTAAACAATCACTTTTTAAAACCTGTTAAGTCAAAACCATCTTGGCTAATATGTACTGGGGAAATAATCCATAAGAGGTATCACCAGATTTATTTATTTTATTAATGATAAAATATATTTATCATTAATAAATACATTTATTAATGTATTTATAAAGAAAGAGACCAAAACTGTCTAGAATTTGAAAGGGTTTCCATATTATTATACTAAAGCAGTATTGGACTGGCCATTGGACCATTTGTTCCAAAACCCACAAATTGTTGCCTAAATTTATAAGTATCATGAAACCTTAGGCAGAGGAGGAGAAATTGAAGGTCCAGGGCAATGAAAGAAAAATGACGTCCTCTCAATTTAGTCTTCTCTCATTGGCCATGTTTCAGATTTTGACCTAGAAATGCGAGCTGTGGTTAGGCTTGGTTAGAGTGCAGCAAGAAACATGACAGATGGTGGCACGCTGTTTTTAGCCAGCCCTGCCTGTACATACACATGCACACCCTCTCTGATATTTTAGTCCTTTAGATGTTCAAATACTCAGTAGTCTTTTTGTTTGCGGTTTAGATTTCATTTTGTCCACACATGTACCCATTTTAAAAAACAATGTCCTCAATGCTTCCATAGTAATTTCATTTTAGCCAGGTATTTCTTTCTTGTGTGTGATGAGCCAGTATGGATTTGCTTTTCTAAGCCTCCTGTTGGTTACTAATCTCACTTGGCACATTATAACTAAAGGAATCCCCTCAATTCAAAAGCATAGATGGATACAAATGTCAGACCATGGGTTTAATCTGTTTAGAACACATGGCATTTCTCCATAAGGTAACCTGCTGTATTTATTTATTTTCTTTTGGTTAAATATAATTTCCAAACTTTGTGGTCAGGCAGCGTCTAAGGTTACGTTACCACAGACTGACAGTTGGTATATGTACTAGTCAATCCCTTCATTAAATGTATACAGATTTAGTTAAGTAGCATTAAATAGGATTCTTAGGAGTATGTCCTCATAGAACTTTTAATACTTAAGGCTTTGTAAAAACTATCCATGAAGGGAAAGCTCCTCAGCATAACTGCTCAGGGAAATAGGGCTAAATAACTGAACATTAAATAATTGGTTAAAGGTGCTGTTAGTCGAGCCTCAATGCTTGCTACAAGGATGTATGTACAAGGACTGACTTTAATAATTTGCATTATATTATCCCAGCCAGTAGTTTATTTTTTGCCACGGAGATGTAGAAGATATTACAAGCTACTGGATGCACTGTCAGATTAACTTATTTCATTAAAGAAGTTGGGAGAACAAATAGGAAAAAAAAAAACTTATTTTTCTAGTAAATATTAATGTATTACATTTCAAATAATGGTGCCTGACATATTGAATAATTATTTTCTACAGTGTACGTATGCAACAAAGATATTCCATCATGCATTAGAGTCAGTTCTGGCTCTGCCTAGCTGTTTACATTTGCAAATGTAGCAAACAAGGTAATGAAGCAACTATTTCTATTGCAGTAGATATCCTTTTGTGTGTGTGTGTGTGCATTAAAGTTGTAAACGGTAACATGAAACAAATGAAAGTTCTTGCTATAATGGTATGGAAAACAAGAAGGAAATGAAAATATTTTTATGCCTACTTAGGAAAAAAAGGGTAGCACTATTCATTCCAAGTACTTTTTTTTTTTAATTTTTAAGCTCTTAACTCACATTGTTATGCTTAAGATGATAAACATATATCCTCTTTTTATTGCTTTGTCTATGTTTCATATGAAACATTTCAGAAATTATTTTGATAAGTGTTGCTGGAATCTGCAACGCTGATGTTTTTATTGCATTCTGTAGTCGCATTTGCACTCCATTTTTACATTAATTCGCAGTTGCTTTGTATCGTTTTGTTTTGTTTGGGTTTTGTTTCTTTTTCACAGTGCCGGGTCTTCGTTTCTTAAAGTTGGATGGCAGGTAGAGTTCAACCAGTTCGTGACTGTTGTAGCGAATGAAGTTAAAAAAAATGTCTTTCTGATGTTGTGTTGTCATTTTCATTCTTGCATTTTTTGTTTGCATATTAAAAAAAGAGAAAAGAGAAAGCAAGAGACAGAAATCAGGACTAAGTCCTCTGCTTCAGTTTCATTGTTAATGGGCCTTATTCTGATCTCACCTGTCGCGTAGCTCTAATATTCACATAAACTGAAATAAAGAAGTGGAATGAGGAGCTTTGACATTCAAATTATGTGATGTAATTTATCTTCCTTAGGAATTTTGATGGATACATCTCAAAATATATAGCCAGACTTGAGAGGTGACAATTAAAGATCTAAAAAAGAGAGGAGATTCCCCAAACAACAATATTTAATTTTCTTAGTAAAAAGAATAACAAAATGCATCATGGCAATCCTTCAGCAACATTATCTATGTGGACTGCTTAAATCAGCAAAACACCAGAAGTTTGGTTAACTTGGACAATATGGCAAGTATTACTTTTTGGGCAAAACTACTCATTAAGCAATTTCTCTAGTGTGTCGGACACAAATAGGTTCTTTATTTTTGTCATGTATGCCTTTTTATTTTCATTCAATTTTTTTTTCTCAGACAGACATAGTAGTAATGACTAGCATTGGAAAATACATATCACTATTCTTGGAATATTTATGGTCAGTCTACTTTTTAGTAGAATATTTTTGGATAGCATTGACACGATAGATCTTATTCCATACTTCTTTATTATTGATAATTTTATTTTCATTTTTGCTTTCATTATTATACATATTTTGGTGGAGAAGAAGTTGGGCTTTTTTAAAAGAGACAAAAATTTATTATAACACTAAACACTCCTTATTTTTTTGACTCATTAAAGGCTTTATTCCATCTCTCAAGATACATTATAAAATTTATTTTTTTAATTTAAGATTTCTGAATTATTTTATCTTAAATTGTGATTTTAAACAAACTATTATGGTACGAAACCTTTTTTTAATGAGGAATTTCATGATGATTTAGGAATTTTCTCTCTTGGAAAAGGCTTCCCCTGTGATGAAAACGATGTGCCAGCTAAAATTGTATGCCATTTGAAAACTGAAAATTTGTGTATGTTCTAAATTGAGCTTTGGATCAAATTTTAGACCAGGACCAGCTCATGCGTTCTCACTCTTCCTATTCTCACTCTTTCTCTCATCACTCACCTCTGTATTCATTCTGTTGTTTGGGACAGAAAAGTCATAAAGAGCCAACCCACCTCAGAATGCTGTGGATTGAGAGAGACACTACATAACTCCAAGTATATGAGAAAAGGTCAGAGCTCTAAGTGATAACTCTGTAGTTCAAAAGGAAAAGAGTATGCCCAATTCTCTCTACATGACATATTGAGATTTTGTTTTAATCAACTTTTAAGATAGTGATGTTCTGTTCTAAACTGTTCTGTTTTAGTAAAGGTAGATTTTTAGAAAACAAGCATGGGAATTCTTTTCTAAGGTAATATTAATGAGAAGGGAAAAAAGTCTCTTTAACAGCTCTTTGTTGAAGCCTGTGGTAGCACATTATGTTTATAATTGCACATGTGCACATAATCTATTACGATCCAATGCAAATACAGCTCCAAAAATATTAAATGTATATATATTTTAAAATGCCTGAGGATTACATTTTTCTTAATAAACTGAAGAGTCTCAGTATGGCTATTAAAATAATTATTAGCCTCCTGCTGTGTGGCTGCAAAACATCACAAAATGACCAGTCTTGAGACCTGTGAACTGCTGCCTGTTTAGTAAATAAAATTAATGCATTTCTAGAGGGGGAATATCTGCCATCCAGTGGTGGAAATGTGGAGTAAAGAAACTGGTGGTCTGCTTCTGTGCTGTATGCCAGCCTTTTGCCTTAAGTTGAGAGGAGCTCAACTTTAGCTACTGTCTTTGGGTTGAGAGCCATGGCAAAAAAAAGAAAAAAAAAAAAAATCGAGGCATCTTTGGTGAGCCAGTAAGGTGAAAGCTTGCTGACTGTTCAAGGCACAAGAGAAAATTGAGGAATTGAAATGCAACCTGAGTATCAAACTAAATATTCTAACCAAAGGTAGGTACTGTTAGGTGGAATTCTATCAGCAGGCAACTGCAAATGAGAAGAAGATAGAAGGACGCCCATTGGGACTTTGGAAGGCAGTGTTATTTTCCCAAAGAAAGACATGGCCAAGAACAGAGGGATGGCTTCTTTGCAGAGCACTCCTTTTGGTTTTTCAATACTGTTTCATAGACAGTGGACTCACATGTTGTGGTGCAGTTGCTTAGAAAGCATCCTAGTTAATTGCAGTAATTAGAACTTCTGCAATATGCTAGGGCAGAAGTATGTCAAGTCAGGGATGAAGAAAATGTGAAATTCAAGAGTAATCCACATGTGAGAAACTAGATAATGTACGATCATGTGTTCTCTTGAAAGGAAAGGGAGAGCTGTAAGCTTCACTCTGTCCTACACCAGAGAAAAGCAGGAATAACTTTACCATGGAAATAATGTTTAGCTTTTATCAGAGAAAATGGTCCTTCTAGACCATAGAGTCCCAAAACTCAATTCTGGTTTTCCCCTGGTGGTGGTGGTTTTTTTTTTTCAACATATGAACTGCAGCATATCACTTTTTCTTTTTGTGCCTCAGGTTCCTCAGCTGTAAAATTGAAAAATATATTAATAATATTATTAATAGTAATAATGGTAATGTAGTACTTGTTTGTAAAGCACTTTGAGATCCTTGGTTGAAAGGCACCATAGAAGTGCCAAGTATTATTATGTGGCCAAGGGGGTTATTTAAACTGTCAGTTCCCAAAGGCCAGGAAAGGTTGGGGTCATTTTTCTTAAAGATGAGCTGTAAATATCAACTAGGCAGCCACTAGTGTTGACTATGAAGACGCAAAACTGTTACTAGGCTGATAAAACCATAGTTTCTTAATGGCTACCAATAAGGCAAATATCACAATAATAAATGCCAAATTCCTTAGGGTGGACTATTTGACAACCACATGGAAAATTTCGGGGGAGGCATGTGGGGGGAACATCTCAAAATGCCAATGTAAAATTAACTTACAGCAATATTCACCAGCAGAAAATGTCTTTCATATGGAATGATTTCATGTTGCTAAGAAAAAGAATTCAATTTGTAGTCCTGATTTGAATATTAGAATGTTGGCTATAATAGTTCTGTTCTTACAACACATGAAATTTTTTCGTTTTATTTTGTTTTGTTTTCATAGTGCATGTTCATTTCTACTCACAAACATGTTCTTGGTGTATTTCTTATGCAAACAATCTTCAGGCAGCAAAGATGTCTGTTACATCTAAACTTGAATAATAAAGTTTTACCACCAGTTACACATAACGGCGTTGGTATGGTTTATATGGATTCACTTTCATCCGTCTAGCAATAGGAAATACAGATCATTGTAATATATATATATACAGGCTCTGCTGAATTGAAATGGTGAAATCAAATCACCATTCTAAAGAACTATTACTTATATTGATAAAGCCTGGATTCTCTCAACTTGTTTCATTTTGCTTTGCTTTTTTTCTTTAACCAATCAATCTCTTATTGATAGATTTTGTGTAAAAAGATATATACTAGTTTCTTCAGAAAGATTAACAATAAAAATTGTGTTTATTTCAAAAACATTAACTGAGTATCAAATATTGAGTGTTGAGTATTGGGTAATGATTATGTTACGATATGTAAAAACTCCTGCTTATGAAGTTTTAACTTTGAATACAGTATACTCGTGAATATGATGCAAAGATTCTAATCAATCATCTCAAAAAGTTTAAATTAATATATCATATATCTTGTTTGTTTGGTTAAAATCAAATTAATCAGAGCAAGTTCCCTGAAAGATGACTTTGAAAGAGAAATGAGGCAGAAGAGATCCAGATAGGAAAGGACATTGGGAAGACTCACCTGTGTGTTTTTAACCAGAAGGAAAAATAGAAAAAGAACATAAAATATATAGATTGCTTCAGAAGATTTGCTTGGAGAGTTCAAAATAATTAGTATCTCCCCTCATTATATAATCATTTCTCATTTTTGGGAGCCCAAATTAAGGAACAAATCTTTCTAATTATTATTTTTTTTCTTTTTTCCCTTTTTCTTTCCATGTTTTGAAAACAGCAGAGCGTCTTTGATGGGCTTTCATAATGGTAATGCCCTTGTTTTGCAGCTGGAGGCAATGTTCTCTAGATAAGAGTGTAAAAATAACATTTAATGTGATATACTTCCTTATGTAGAACTTGATTCTTGTGTCAAGGACCACCCTTCAGATAAAGAATACACATGATCTCACCCAGGACTGTCAGAACCCCATTAGAGGAGGAATATATAGCCATCAGCTATTTACCGGTATTTGAGGGAAGAGAAGTGAGTGAGTCAGCATTGTCACCCTGCTCTCACCTCTGGGTCTCCCACCTCTGTGTGGACAGAGCAAGGGTCCAGAAAAGGAACATACAAGGACACAAAGGAGTAGGCAAGTGGCCTCCATGGAGGCAGCCAGCTGGGTAGAGACTTTGGGAACTGGAGAGCTCATTCCACATGTATAAAGGTAGTCTTTCTTCAGCCCTGAGCATATTGCCAAGGGAGAGTGCTTAACTTGCATTTGCCAGATTTTCAGTTTTTAATAAAAACTAGACAAAGGGAATTTTATATGAAATCTCCTATGTTTTAAATGTTACTTACTTTTTTTTTTTAAATACTGCAAGCCAAACAAAACACTTGTTCAAAATAAATTCCACCAGTAGATTGCTATGGTATGACTCCTGGAGCTTGAACAATAGTGAACTCTGATAACTGGCAAGGTGGAAATTAGGCAAAGGGCTGAGATTAGTTGCTTTTCCTCTGGATTTTGTCTTGGGTTGCAGTCTATCTCCAGCTCTACCAGGAAGCCCAACAGAATCACAGCTGTAGCACTTGTCTGATTCCTTCGGAGCAAGATTTGCTCAAGACTAAGAACATTGGCACAGAAAAGAAATAAACCCTGTTTCAGCATATTCATACTGCAAATTACTTTGTACTTCTGTTCTTCATCTTTGTAACCCCAAGTACAGTTGTGCTGTTTTTAAAACATACTGATATGAACAGATTTACCCTTTCATGAACAAAGAAATGTCAAAAACTATTAAAAGTAGCAGGAGTTAATATTTGGTAATGCCCAAGATGCCCTTATAGTCCTCTACAAGTCATATTTTAGAGTGAAAACACCAGGGGTAGAAAACTAAATACAACAATAGATAGAAGGAAGGAGCTTTTTCATGTCAGAGTTGATCATATTAATGAATTAAAAAACAATTTGTATACAAAATAAGAAATTTTATAATGAAATCTTATTTCTAGTTTTATAATACTGTTATCTAATATATTCAGGATATCAGTAGTCCTAAGACCATCTTTCATGAATGTAGTATTTATATAAAATACTTACATGAAGCAACAGCTGGTTCTTCTCCCAATTTACTGCTTAATAAAAACAAGCAGTAAACATTAACAAATATAATAGAAATTGCTTAAGTTATTTCCATAAATAGAAAGTTAATTTCCAAGTTAAAACTACACAAGCACTACACTGTAAGCAGTTTCCCAGGGATATTTATGAACTGAAACCCATGAATACATCACAGACTTTTTCTCAGAACATGTACCACCTCTGATGTGAAAGCAAAGCCTGCCATCACCATGATTACACACTAGTTTTTAAAGTTAATATAATATAGAACTGACAGTATTTTCTTCAGAGCTTAAATTTCCTTAGATATTTTCTTTCTATATAGCAGGTACTACTCAATGTAACTGATGTATCCTTAAAAGGATATATATATATATATATATATGGCAGTGATTTTGCAAAGCATGAATTGTTATCGTGATGGTATATTTTCTATATATTTTTACAATTACCTTGATGATTTTTTCCTCTAGTGAAATCAGCATTGCTGTTATTTTGTTATTCATTGGTAATACTATATAGTATAAACCCAGGCTTCATTAAACAATATCCATTTGGTCAGCAGATTTTAATTGAGTATTTACTATGTTTTGGGCTCTAGTCCAGACATTTGGGATAGATCAATGAAAGAAAACAGACCTAAACCCCTGGCTATATGGAAAAAAGTCAGACAATAAACATATGTACAAAATAAGCAAATATATTAATAACATTACATGTTAGAGAGTGATAAGTGTCCTGGTGAAAAAACAAAGTAGCATGAAGGCAAGGTGGGGTGGATGGAACCATATTCAATAGACTAAACAAGTTTCATTTGAGCCAGGACTTAAAAGAGGGAACAAAGAGAACAGGCCCTAAGGTGAAAGAGTGTACCTAGTAAATTGGAAGAATACCAAGAAGACCAATACAGCATGGCCAGGTAAAGGAAAGAAAAAGTATTTTAAAATGCACACAGAGATAAGGTGGGAAGAAGTCAGACCATTTAGAACACTGTAGGCCACTTTAAAGACTATAGCTTTTATTCTGTCCGAAGTAGGGAAGTAATTTAGTGTTTGAGCACAGGAGTGTTATGTGATTTATGTTTTAATGGGACCATTCCCTACTATGCTTAAAGTAAATCATGAGATGTGAGGAGACAAGGATAGAAGCCAGGAGACCAGGGAGGAGGCTAATTCAGTAATCTCTGTAAGAGATGAGAAGTACAGAAAATAATTTAAATTTCAGATAACATTTTGAAGGTAGAACAAACTAGATTGCCTGGATATGGGGTGTAAAAGAAACAGAAGGGTCAAGAATTATTCCAAGATTTCTAGCCTGAGCAACAGGAAGAATATCTACCGTAAACAATGGGGAAGAGTATTGGTAGATCAGATTTGGTGTAGGAAAGAAAAGGAGTTACATTTTGGGCATGCTATATTTAAGATCCAAATAGAAAGGTCAAGTAGACTGTTGGAGCTGAAGAGGGAGTTGGGAGTTAATCGTTAGCTTATAGACGGCATTTAGAACTCTGAGATTGGCTGAGATCATCTAGCAAAGTGAATAGAAGGAAGAATAGGTCCAAATTTGTAAATCCGGGAAACGAGGAGACTCAACAAAACCAAAGGGGAGTCTCTGAGATAGCAAAAGGAGTAAAGTATATTAGAAGCCAATTAAACAGAACTATATCAAGAAGGAGGGAGTAATTGACCTTATAAAATCTGCTATTGATAAGTACGATGCTGTCTTAGTCTGTTTTGTGTTTCTATAAAAGAATATCTGAGACTGGGTAATTTATAAAGCAAAGAAGTTTATTTAGCTCACAGTTATACAATATGTACAAGAAGCATAGTGCTGGCATCTGCTCAGCTTCTGGTGAGGAACTCAGCCTGCTTCCATTCATGGCAGAAGAGAAAGGGGAGCCCAATGTGTGCAGAGATCACATGCCAAGAGAGAAAGCAAAAGAGAGAGGGGGCAGGTGCCAGGCTCATTCTAACAACGTCCTCTTGCAGGAATTAATGAAGTAAGATCTCACCCTCAAAGGAGGGCATTAATCTGTTCATGAGGGACCCACCCCCATAATTCAAGCATTTCCCATCACGCCCACCACCAATGTTTGGGGATCAAATTTCAACATGAGGTTTGAAGGGGACAAATATCCAAACCATAACAAATACATGTAGTGGATTGGCCATTGGCTTTAGCAACATGAAGGTCATTGATATGAAAAGAGAGCTATATAACTTGTGTGGCCCATAGCAAAATGAAAATTTGAAGTCCCTTTGTTCAAGGATTAAGAATATCAAGATGGTGAGAGGACATTCAACAAAACTCAAGGCCATTGTAAGGAATGCCCCTGGGCAACTACAGAGGGTAAGGTAAACTAAGGAGAGAGTATTGCATGCCCACGAAGCTGGCCCTGGTCAATAGTGATATTGATGAGCGTAGTTTTGGTGGAGAAATGGGTGTGAGAGCCTGATAGAATAAATTTAAGAGAGAACAGGAAGAAAGAACTGGAGAACTAAGTATGAAAATATCTGGGAGGCCGGGCACAATGACTTATGCCTATAATCCCAGCACTATGGGAGGCCGAGGCGGGTGGATCACAAGGTCAGGAAATCGAGACCATCCTGTCTAACATGGTGAAACCCCGTCTCTACCAAAAATGCAAAAAAACTAGCCCTGCGTGGTGGTGGGTGCCTGTAGTCCCAGCTCTTCAGGAGGCTGAGTCAGGAGAATGGCATGAACCTGGGAGGCAGAGCTTGCAGTGAGCAGAGATCGCACCACTGCACTCCAGCCTGGGCGACAGAGCGAGACTCCGTCTCAAAAAAAAAAAAAAAAAAAAAAAAAAGAACGATATAATTCTCACAAGGAAAGTGAGCTCGTGGAAAAGTTGTAATTAACACACTTAA